GTAATCACAGGTCGGTGTGTGTTTTCAAACGGCAACCCGTCTTTTAATGAAGCCCATGGGGAAGTGATGGGGAATGTGCCTGTGATTATCAGGAAGCTTTCCATGGATCCCTCCTCTAAAAACTAGGTGCGTCTTATGGTCAGGTGCGTCTTATAGAGCGAAAAATACAGTAAATGTTAGGAATTACAGCTACTTGTGATCCAGGGCCAACAACCCCATTTCCCTCTCCACTTCCTAGTGAGAAGTTGTTGATGTCTTTTTTACTGCCTTTATATTTTATGGTTGTGTTCTCAGTCTAAAAAAACCCCAACAAAAATAAAACTAATAGTAAACTATTTAAATAGCAACATTTTAGCACATCACAGAAAAGGTAGCACCCTGGAAGAAAAATCATTATAAAACTGGTAATATTCCAGCACAAAATATACAAAATTACTAAAAGCCTTTTTTTCCAACAATGTAAAAGTCGATATTTAGCTCAGATCATTTGAATTACATTTCTTAAACTAGTCTTAATGGTGACATGTTTCAACATACTGAAAGTCACAATCTGTCATCCTAATGTTGTAACAACAAAACTGGATTAATATGTACAAATGCTTTTCGAGTGACCACATTGTAGGGATTCATGAAATAGACAGAATGAGAATATTATTATCTTGACAGAATATAAAACTTACTAAGAATAATCTGGGAGCTGTGAAAGCAAGTAAATCTGAGTTTTAATTGTGTTCACAGGGGTATGACAGTTGCATGGTAAATTGCATGCATATTTGTTTATTTATTATATTTATATTTACTTTCTCTCATATAAGTGGATTGTAGCTCAACCATACTGATCTATGTATCCACTGTTTTTCTTATCAGAACAATCAGAAGGCTGATGGTGAATGACTTATGTTACCTTTGCTGGGACCTAGACAGTGAAAATGTTGGTTCTGGACCTTTCAATTGCATTAAATACCATCAAGCCACTGAGATTTTATAACTCTGCAGTGTCTTTTTCCTGTGCTGCAACCATCACTATACAAAATATTCTAAATGTGGCAGCACCATCCATTTGTATGACTGATGATCTTGACAGTTTTATTTTCAATCCTGTCCTAATTATGAATACCATGGAACTTGCCTTTTTCACAGCAGACACACACTGGGTCAATATTTTTACTGCATTCCAACGTCTCTCTCCTGGTTAGTTACCGCTGGCTCAGATTCCATCAACTTATAGTTGACGTTGGAACTTTTGGCCCCAACATGCACTACTTTACACTCGGTTACACTGACCCAACTTGCCACTTCTCTCAGCTTGACGAGATCCCTTTGGAGTTCCTCAAAATCCCTTTTGGTTTTAACCATCCCGAATACTTCTGGGTCATCAGCAAACATTGTCACTTCACTGCTCAATCCTAATTCAAGGTTAATTAAGAATAGATTGAAAAGCATTGGTCCCAATGCGGAACCTAATTGCATTCATTCATTGGAAGAAAGCTCCATTTATTTCCACTCTCTACTTTCTATTATTTTTTCATTTATTTCATTCCTATTTTGCCCAATATCAGACGTTCTCTAGCTGGTACCAATCCATAGGAGGGCTTCCTCTCCTATTCCATGACTACTAAATTTGCTCAGAAGTCTTTGGTGAGCTACTTCGTCAAAGTGGAAGTCCAACTAAATAATGCCTACCAGATCACCCCTTTCTATGTGTTTAGTAACACTGCCAGATAACTCTAAAATGTTAGAGAAATAGGCCTTACCTTTGCGGAAGCCCTGCCAATTTTTTTCAGCAGGATGTATCTTTCTATATACTTACTGAGTCTATCTTTTCTAACATGTTCAACCAGTTTACCAAAAACAGACATTAAACTAACCACCCTGTAATTTTGCGGATCCCCCGGAACCCCTTTTAAAAAACTGTTGTTACATTGGCCATTCCAAAGTCCTTTGCTACAAAGGCTGATCTTAGACATGCTGCGTATTTTTGTAGGAAGGTTAGCAATTTTTATTTGAGTTAAGAACTATAGGATGATTATCATCCTGGCCTAGTGATTTATTAATTTTCAGTTTGTCAGTAAGGTTGAGGCATTTCATCATTGTCACCAGTATGCGCCTTAATTCTTTTTTTTTTTTTTTTTTTTGCTTCCCCTCTCCCTAGAAATTATAATGTTCAATTCTACTGTAATTAAATTTTGTATCTTGTTATCTGTTGGTTAGAGTCCTGTCGAGTTATTCAGCCACCTATAAATTTATTTAAATTTATTGATCATAAAATCTTCCTGAATATATAACTTCAGATATCTGTTCTGTATTATTTCCTGCGAAGACAGATGAAACAATTCATTCAGCTTAGAAGTTTTCTTTCAGGGCCATCCATACAGGAACAGGTCACAACCAGCAGAATCTACAATGGGTTGCCAACGCAAAGGCCTGATTCAGAAATCACATAGTTAGTAAGACACTGTATAACAATGAAGACTATCCCAAAGACTCATAATTAGTACTAATTATGATTATGATAGTTGAGAAGCAATGAACATAATAATGGTAGTTTGCTCCCCAACAAATCTAAACTGTGATCTCATCCTAATTTTAATTCCAGGTTTAACAGCAAATTTACCATTAGTAGTAGCAATAGTTACATATTCAGATGTCACAGGAAAAAGTTATTCCTAAAAAACAGGGAACAAGAATGTGTGCGGAAGTGGACTATACCCAACTCCTTTATGGCAAGTCAAGCCTAGCCAATGTTTAGGCATGTATAGCACCCAGCTTTGGATCATTTGTCAGCCACCCAGAGACTCTTTGAGTAACTGGGACGGCATACAAAAACCTTAAATAAATAAATAAATAAATAAATAAATAAATAAATAAATAAATAAATAAATAAATAAATAAATAAATAAATAAATAAATAAATAAATAAAGCATCTGACACAGGTTTCCAATTTTCACAACTGTGTATGTATTTATTTAAATCAAGACCAGACCACAATGGAAGTCTGTCTGTTGTTGCTGAGTTCAGTGACAAAATCTCTAAGGCTAGCACTGTATGAGCACTCTGCAATCTTAAAGGGTTTATGGACTGCATGCAATTTCAATTCTACCTACTCTTTGACAGTCCCCTTTGTAAAATTATTTCAAGCTTAAGTCAGTGTAGTAACAATGGTTTGCGGACATCACAAAAACACCAAGAACAAGACTCCATTCCTAGAACAAAGTGCAATTTAAGATGCATTGCATGCTCTGATTCAGAAATGAGTCTTTTTGTATAAACTGCATTGGGGAGAGGGATAATTTTTTCCCAACTGCTCCATTTAATTCTATGATTTCAGAAGTCATGCTAATGGGTGAGTCAAAGGTAACAGGCTTGTGGCTTGGCTCACAGACCAGACATAAGCCAGTTCCATATAAAAGCAAGCCAGAAGATGACTACTGGATGATATACTAATTAGCCTATATTTTGACATTTCTTTTGCATCTTTTGCTTTGCGTAACATCCAATGTACTGAAGTATTCAAAAGCTTGCTCATTATTTTGTGGCATTTTGTTTAGCCTTAATCCAAAGATTGTTAAGCTATACTTATTTTCCTTACTTTCTACTACTGCTACACTTGGGGAACACTAAACTAATTCAAGGTGGAATCTATAACCAGCAAAAGATAACTTTTTACCACCTGAAGAGGAATTTTACATTTGGAGGATTATATTCCCTCCAATTCTCTAGTAATCTGTAGTCTAGTAACAGGATTGGTCTCCTGTTAACCACTCTAGCTAGCACACCACACACAATCTGCAGCTTCACTACTATAAGCAGTATCTAATTATATTGACCCTGGGCATTTGCACAACCCAACAGCCCACTGTGGCTTAAGTGACGGTGGATTGCAGCACAAGCTGAGCAGTTTCAGTGTTCTGTACCATGTATCCAAGCCTGGATGGGAGGGGTTGTGCAAGGACTGCTGAAACCTCAAACATAACCTAAAACAGGCCATGGCTTATGCCCGGTTGCCCAACTCCTACCATTCAAGTTCAGAAATAACTATGGCCTCAGTATTTAAAATGACTTATCACGGAGTGCCACCTTTCTTCAATCCTCACTCTCTGCCCAGGACTTCCGTATTTCACTTAAAGATGGAGACACATCCAGATAATATCGGGCATAATGCTTTCCAAAGAAAAGCATTGCCTGGCCTGGTTTTGGATTTTTTGGCCAAGAGGGTTTTCTGGTTCTTTGTGTCCTGTTTTCATAATCAGATAGCTGATTTACTAGCAAGTAACTCGAAAGTACACCTGCGGGGGATTAGCAGTCAACAGGGATCCTCTCACTGAAAGCAGGCATCGCAAGCAACACTCCAGTGCCCAGAAAGGCCATACAGAATGGCCCAAGCACAGGGTATATGCCCGGTCTTCTTTCGCACATGAGAGTTACCCTATTAACCTTCCGCTCAAACATATAAACCGTCACGCAAACGCATTCACAACCCGCACGGCCGCCTTTAAAAAAAAGAAAAGAAAAGCTGCGCATGTGTACTCTGCTGCTGCGGAGCTAGAAAAACGCTATCACGGAAGGCACATGCGCAGTAGTTATACAAGAAGCCATAGACCACAAATGCTTCCCGCATGCGTTCTTTGGACGTCCCTTCAGCGCTCCCCCACACACAAAAAAGTGTAGGAGAAGTCTTGTAGGATTAGCCAATCGCTATGTGCCTTCATCTTCCCGCCCTCCAGGCGCAACCACTCAGAAATCCTTTCATAAGCATCAGGTCCCAGTTGTGGGTACTGATTGGCCAAAAACTTATTTCCTGGCCTCCCACCCACCACCGAGAGGAGGAAGGGGAAAAAAACGACGGCAGCACAGAGGCCCAAAAAGCCCTAGGGAAAGAGAAAAGGCTTGCTGAAAGTCAGGAGAAAACAGGCGCCCCCACGGACAAGTGCCTACAACAGTCCTAGGCAGCCGCCCTCCTAAAAAGCGGGGCAACCGCCGACCGTTGGTTTTTACTCACCGGATGGGGGGAGCCGTCCTCCTCCGCTTGTGATGATCTTGGTCACAAGTGGCGTGCCGTAGATTCGCCGTAGCGCGTCACCATCGGAACGTGCTGCGTCATGTCGTGCGGGGGTGGGAAAACAGGAAACGTAATGATTGCGACCGCGGCCGGAGCGACACCGGCGGCGCGCGACCCCGGAATGCGAAAGAGCTTGACCGTGTCTTGAGCGCGCGGCCGCGGCGGCTCCTGTGGGCTCTGGCATGGGGCTCGAGCGCCTCCTGGAAGCGGGGCCCGGACGCGGCGGGCGCTAACGAGGGGGAAATGCCCTGCGCGCGTGTTCAGAGGAGCTTCTGTGACTGCGCGCAACAAGCTACCTAAAAGTCCAGCAAAAACAGTTCTTAATAACAGTTCTTAATTGCAGTTGATATAAAATAGTAAAATCCAGTTACTCTGGGATAGGTAGTGCTTTCTTCAACAAACAGCTGTTTATTTTCTTTTTTTTATTAGAAGAAATTTCCATGGGATAAAACGAAAGTGTACAAACATAATAAAGTACTGTATACTGAAAACAAAATCATAATTGTCATTTCTTCTGGCCTCACCAGTTTGCCTTATGAGCCATTGACTGTGCCTACTCTGGCAACCACTTTATGAACAGACACGCTCCTCTGGCATCCACATTTTACAATATTCCAAACATGAAGTACCAAATGAAGCCACAGGTCATGAAGGACAGGGACACCTGACTCCTTAACTGGCAGTCCAGTTGTTAGAGATACTGTTCCAGTGGTGCTTTAAATGCATAACATTTTGAAGATCTACTCAATGATGCTCTGGAATAGGGTCTTCAGTATCATAGCCCTCACTCTCAAGAACTTTTTATGAGTACAGACCAGATCCACTGACCTTTCCAGGTTTACACTATCTACTGAAAATGTTTCAGCAAGCTTTACCACCCTTGGGATAATATCCTGCTGCCCAAACCCTGTAGTTATGTCATTATGGCTGTCCTCATTACTTTTTATCTTGCATTATTATCCTATATAGAGGGTCTGTTGCCTCATCTTGTGTTCCTTACTGTCTTCTGTAGCGTCACATATTTCCACTGCCCAAGAGGAGATAGAGTTGAAGGCAGCAGCTGTACCCCAAATGCATTTTCCATCACTAGAGAAACTAAAGGATAAACTAAAGAGTTGCCAGTTGAGAATGGAAATCCTATGCGTGTTTGAAAAGAAAAATAATTCTAAAGCTCCCAACATGCCCAAGCAAGCTCCCAGCATACTGACTCGGTCATGCTGGGAATTGTAGAGCTCTCTCTGGTCCAAAAACATAACTAGAATTGCAGTCTTACTCTTTCATAAATGTGCTCAGTGTTGCAGTGTAAAGATTTGCTGCCTTCTCCATGAGAGAAAATCTTTAATATGTTCATTTGTGTGATGGATGTATTAATAGCACAACCCTATACATGTTGAATGGGGTATATTCTCAGGTAAGTGTGCAAAGGACAGCAGTATGCCTTGCTTTTTGCCTGAAAACCTTGTATGTGCAACTTTTGCTTTGTTTCTGAAGAGAATGTGTACAGAGCAATTGGCATTTTCTATCGAAAATACCGTTTAAAGGAAAAGATAAAATTGTATGTCTTCTTGAACCAAGCAATAAGCACCGTGGTATAATATGCATGACAGTAACTGGGTATATTGCTATAGTTAACAATATAAAAAAGATTCAGGTAGTAGCAAAGAAACTGCAAATATGTTTATTGCCAGCAGAGGGCATACAGTGCTTAGACATGATAGTATTCTTTTTCCTTGCTCATAGTGTGTCAAACCATCTCCCCATGACCTAGGTTTTCTAATATTAATAACTAATATTTTTCACAACATGAGCTCTATTAAGGAACTCTGCTCAGTTCCTTAACGCTCCCCAGTTACCATATTTCTCTGGCTGGGCCAATAGCACCTCTAATGTTTAGAATCTAAAATACCTTAACCAGGAGCAAGGACAAGGCATTTTGGGGACAGGCTGTGAGGGAGGGGTCTCTAAAATCATGCAATGAGATCCACTGAATATTCGAATCAGGGCTTATTCATAGGCAAAATGGCAAGAGTTGTGGATGGAAAACAGGAACATGCCGAGCAATTCCATAGGAATGAATAACGTTTCTGTAACCTCTAGCTCCACTGATTGTAAAACTGGAGTTAAATATTAGGAGAAGCCTTTCTCAACTTGGGACCCTCTAAATGTGTTGAAATAAAACTGGGAGTTGTTGAGAGTGCTGGGAACTGTTATCTACATATCTATAAGGCACTAGGTTTGGGGAGTCTGATTAAGAGGGTAATGCAGCTCTGTCCGATAAATACAAATAAATTCCTCCTCATCCCTCAGTCAACTGCCTGCTGCCTACGTTTCAACTATGAGCATTTACCTGCCAGCAAGAGTGTGACCCCTTCTCCCTGTTTTAAATGGAGCACACCTTCCCTCTTGATAGACCTGATAGTACTTTACAAAGGACACATGCAGCAGAACCAGTTTGTGGACTGTGAAGTGGTACAGTGTTTAAAAAGGGGTTGGGCAGAAGCTATGTCCTAGCTCCTTCACAAAGGTGGCATGCCCACATACACCAGTGGCTGAGGAGCTTGAGCAGGCAGAAGTCTTGTATGCATCCTGTTTATGTGATCCTGTGGGCAGCTGGTTTGCCACCATGTGTACAGAAGGCTGGACTAGAGAGACCTTTGCTTTCTTATCTACTACTTATAAACTCTCACACTTTTTAATTGAGACGATTCAAAAGAGTGAGGATACTGGATTGCCAGATCTGTGGTCAGGCACAGAACTCTGACCTCAGAGCTGGGAATATATTCCCAAACACCCCTCCCCACCATTGCAACCAGCACAGAAAGAACTATGCCAGTTGCCTTTCAGCGGTCCAAACTCAATCCCAGGCAGAGGTGAACGGGCCTATTCCCATTGGGAAGAAGAGTACAGAGGCCAATGTACAATGTATTTTGTGTCCTCTGCAACCTCCTCCTCTCTTTCTCTGAAGAACCCCATCATAGATGGCCAAAAATGGAAGGAAGGAATGGGAAGATAAAGATTGCTTCCACTGTTCCTTCTGCTCTTCATTGGATTGCCCCTTGATGTCTTTTTTTTCTGTCAGTTAAATAACAGTGCACTCCCATAAATATCTTCTCAGAACTAAGGATAACTGAGTTCAACCAGAACTGTTTATTTTTCTGTTAACAGTAATTAATTAATTAATTAATTAATTAATTAATACATTTCTATGCCATCCTTTCTCCTTCATGGATCACTGCCTTGTCATGGCAAAGGGGCTTGCATAGCTCAATGAAGCTATGAGCTATGCCATGCAGGGCCATCCAAGACGGACAGGTCATAGCAGAGAGCTCTGACAAAACGTGATCCACTGGAGAAGGAAATGGCATCCCACTCCAATATCTTTGCCATGAAAACCCCATGGGCAGTACCAAAAGGCAAGAAGATATGACACCGGAAGTTGAGCCCCTCAGGTCGGAAGGTGTCCAATATGCTACTGGTGAAGAGTGGAGGGCTAGTACTAGTAGCGCCAGAAAGAATGAAGTGACTGGGTCAAAGCCGAAAGGACACTCAGTTGCAGATGTATCTGGTGGTGAAAGGAGAGTCTGATGCTGCAAAGATCTATACTCCATAGGAACCTGGAATGTAAGAATGAATCAAGGCAAGCTGGATGTGGTCAAACAAGAGATGACAAGACTGAACATCGACATCTTAGGAATCAGCGAACTAAAATGGACAGGAATGGGTGAATTTAATTCAGATGACCATCAGGTATACTACTGCGGGCAAGAATCCCTCAGAAGAAATGGAGTAGCCTCCATAGTCAATAAAAGAGTAGGAAAAGCAGTACTGGGATACAATCTCCAAAATGACAGAATGATCTCAGTTCGAGTCCAAGGCAAACCATTCAACATCACAATAGTCCAAGTCTATGCCCCAACCACTGGTGCTGAAGAGGCTGAAGTTGACTGGTTCTATGAAGGCCTACAGCACCTTCTAGAATTAACACCCAAAAATGATGTCCTTATCATCATGGGGGATTGGAATGCTAAAGTAGGAAGTCGAAAGATAACCGGAATAACAGGCAAGTTTGGACTTGGAGTGCAAAATGAAGCAGGGCACAGGCTGGTAGAATTTTGTCAAGAGAATATGATGGTCATAGCAAACACTCTTTTCCAACAACGACTCTACACACGTGTAGACGACTCTACACATGGACATCACCAGACGGTCAACACAGAAATCAGGTTGACTATGTGCTCTGCAGCCAAAGATGGAGAAGCTCTATACAGTCAGTAAAAACTAGACCAGGAGCCGACTGTGGCTCAGATCATGAGCTTCTTGTTGCAAAATTTAGGCTTAAATTGAAGAAAGTACGAAAAAGCTCTAGGCCACTCAGGTATGACCTAAATTATATCCCTGGTGAATATACAGTAGAGGTACAGTAGAGGTGACAAATAGATTTAAGGAATTAGATCTGATAGACAGAGTGCCTGAAGAACATTGGACGGAGATTCGCAACATTGTACAAGAGGTAGCAACTAAAACAATCCCAAAGAAAAAGAAATGCAAGAAAGCAGAATGGCTGTCTGAGGAAGCTTTACAAATAGCTGAGAAAGAAGGGAAGCGAAAGGCAAGGGAGAAAAGGAAAGATACACCCAATTGAATGCAGAATTCCAGAGAATAGCTAGAAGAGATAAGAATGCCTTCTTAAATAAGCAGTGCAAAAAATAGAAGAAAACAATAGAATAGGGAGGACCAGAGATCTCTTCAAGAAAATGGGAGATATGAAGGGAACGTTTCATGCAAAGATGGGCATGATAAAGGACCAAAATGGCAGAGACCTAACAGAGGCAGAAGAGATTAAGAAGAGGTGGCAAGATTACACAGAGGAACTATACAAGAAAGAGGTTAACATCCCTGATAACCATGATGGGGTGGTCACTGACCTTGAGCCAGACATCCTAGAATGTGAAGTCAAATGGGCCTTAGGAAGTCTGAGCAACAACAAAGCTAGTGGAGGTGACAGTATTTGCAGCTGACCTATTACAT